ACAAACAAACAAACTTTACAGATTCTGATACAACTTTTATCGCTAAAGCTTAATCGCCACCTACTGGGTTTTATTCGTCATGACTACGTGAAATTTTGCATATGAAAATAGCTCATGAGCTAGCATATCTTGTGTTACTGTGAGCCGAAAGAAAGAAAAAGTAAATATATATATACTCTTTGTTCTTCAGTTTTATCAAACTTATGAAATTTTCCACTGCATAAAATATTATGGGCTAATATACCCCATAATATACCCAGAGAAGGCGCTAAATTCATATAAAGTATTATAAATACCTCGTTACACATTCATTGTCCAGTATTATCAAATCAAGTTAGTAGATTTTGTTCTAGTTGTATTTGCCAGGAGGCTAAAAGATTAGCATTAATAAAGATATATATTCTGCTTTTCACAAATTGCTTAACACTTAATTTCCAGTTTTCTTTAATTAACATATAAGTGTACCAAAAGTAAATGAAAACAGTTGTATCTTTTTCTGGCACTAGGAAGCGCTAATTATACAATTTCTATAATTTAGGTAAACATTATTGCTTTTTTATTGAAGCTACTCCTAGTTGTTACAAATTCACTACAAACTAAATATTTGACATTAATAAGAATAAATAACAGGTAATACTCACAACTTCACCTCCAGAATTTTCAAAGTTTTTACATGGCTTAACCAATCTTACTCGTTACACTGCTTAATGTCAAGGTATGTGTTTCAGTATTTGAGGACATGGAATATAAGGAACATCGTAATAAATATTAGGTCGTCAAGAAATTAATGTCGCGTTTTGGAACACTTTCATTAACCACCCCCCAAAATACATACGTCACGTATAATAGTTAAACGAATCCCCTAAACGTCACGTTAGTGTAGCATATATAATGTGTAAAGTTTAGTATACTCCAATCCCGTAACACACACGACGAGACACACATTCAACATGTAATGCTGTTTGAATACAAAAATGGAAACAACGCCTCTGTAGCCACAAAGAATATCAAAGAAGTTTATGGAAATGATTTGAACGTTCGTAAGTGTCAACGATGGATCAGCAAATTTCGTTCATGTGACTTTAGCCTTGAAAACTGTGATGGCAGGGACCGACATGTTGGAATTGATATTGATGCTCTGAAGGCGCTTGTTGAGTTTAACCCAAGGCAACACACTCGTGAAATTGCATGTCTCTCATGAAACAATACGTAAACATCTAAGGAATGTGGGAAAACTCCATAAAGAAGGTGTTTGGGTGCCTCACGAACTCTCCGGTGGTCATCGTTTCCAACGTATTAACGTTGCTTCGCGTGAACCATTGTTGGACAGAATTGTCACCGGTGATAAAAAAATTGATTCTCTATGTGAATATTAAACGCAAAAAACAATGGCTCAGTCTTAGTCGAAAACCACTTCCGACTCAAAAACCTGGAATCCATCTGCAAAAAGTGATGCTTTGCATTTGGTGGGACATCATTTCAAACTCCTTAATCCACAGTGAACTGTCAATGCAGAGGTCTATAGTCAGCAACTGGAACGTTTAAATCAATCCCTTTATCAGAAACGCTCTTCACTCGTCAATCGGAAAGGTGTCCTTATTCTCCACTACAATGCACGTCCACATGTGGCACGTTTGATGTAACACAAGATTATGGAGTTGGGTTGGGAAATTCTCCGCCACCCACCATATTATCCAGATATGGTACCATCCTTTTCATTCGCTGCAACACCATCTTAACTAGAAGACGTATGCAAATGTGGAAGGTGTTAAAGAGGACATCGACATGTTTCTTTGCTTCAAAGCCAAGTGATTTCTTTAACCCAACCCAACTCCATAATCTTGTGTTACATCAAACGTGCCACATGTGGACGTGCATTGTAGTGGAGAATAAGGACACCTTTCCGATTAACAACCTGATTGTAAGATGGAAAAGCATCATTGATAAGAGTGGAGACTATTTCATTTAATGAATG